TGCTGAAAGGCCCTAGCTCTTTTTATTTGTGATTAATTAAAGGTTTTCTCTCTGATCTTCTGTTCCTTTCTCCCCTTCCCGTCCTTTTAATCTTCCGGCTTCTTTTGGTCACCCCCAGGGACAGCCATGGGGACTGTTCAAACCATTAATGGGAGAGTTGAGATCGGGCAGTTTGAAAGTTCTGAACACCATCCTTTCAGGGAATTGTCATTTCCTGCAGAGGAGAGATTCACTTTCTCCCTGGAGCCTCACAGGAGCCACGGTTGAGTGGTTTGTCTCTTAAATGTGTTTGAGCCCAGGAGCTGCTACTTCCTAGAGGCCTTGTAGCAAACACACTGGGCTCCCCCACTCACGCCTCGTGCCCTCACCCTGATTTAAGGTGCAGCTGGGATGGGCCAGTTCTTCTGGGCCTCAACTCATTGTCTGTGGACAGCATCTTCCTCTGTGGCTGGAAGTCGGGTGGGGGGTGATGACCCCAGGGTAACCCCTGGTGGATGGGAGAGGAGGATCCACGGATAAACGCTCCACCTGCCATCCTTGGGAGGGACACCACACTCCTCTTGGGAGATCTCAGGGACAGAGACTTCCTGTAGGGCAGGGCTCCCTCCATTGTGTCCCCACAGCGGCCCTCCCTGCCTCCCTACTCACTCTCACCACTCACGCCCTGCTCCTTGCCTCAGCCTCTGCTTTTAAGAGAAACCAAACCAAGACAGAATTGCCAGAGGAGAGAACAAGGCTGATAGAGTCCTGGCCGTCACTTTGCTAAGGAGGGTGACTCACAGACAGACTCACATTCAAATCCCAGCCTTGCCACTTATGATCTGTAGTTGCAGGGACAAATTAACTTCTCTGCGCTAGGTTGCAATTAGAAAACATCAAATGCTCATAAAATGCTCAGCAAAGGGAATCACTTGCTCACTGGGATTCATAAGAATGCTCCCTGCATAGGGGACAGAACTTTTAGCCTTTGAGCACTAAAGGGACAGAAACTCTAACCTTAAGTCCAGGGCACACAAGACGGTCCAGCCCTGCACAGCTCCTTCCAGTTCCTGAATCTGCCTCGACACAGTGTCCCTGGCCTGCAAAGAGGAAGCGCGAGGGCACACTTGTGGCCTGTGGCCTTCATTTTGAACCCTAGCTCGTGACCACTCCTTTCTTCCATTTCCATCCTATTCCTAATCTTTCATTCATTCCCTCAGTCAACCAGTGCTCACCCCACTGTGTAACTGGCCAAAGGGGGCATTTGCTTTAGATGGAAGGATGGCTTATCTTCTTGGTCAGATCTGACCCAGGATGTTGACTGGTGAAGCCAGCGGTGAACAAACACAGCCTTGGGCATGCACCCATTTTGTCCCGACCTTACCCCCCAGAACTGAGCCTCATGAAACCTCACATCCTAGTCTTCACCGCAGCTACACCACCACAGGCCACCCTGGGACCACCCCTCCTGCTCCAACACAGCATCAGGACCCTCATCCTGGCACTGTCTCCAAGCTCCCTCCAGCAGGGTGAGCCTGGGCCCATAAGAGGAACCTGGACAGGGACAGTTGGGGATATCCAGTGTGGAGGTGAGGACCCTCCACCACAGTGGTCTGGAAAAAAACAAGGAAAACCCAGGTGAAGGTCTGGAGCTGGCACCACTTTATACTCCTGTAGGGGCCACAACATCCAAACAAGCTTGGATAACCTGGGGGTGGGAGCGGTCACAAGCTGGGGAACCCCCAGGATGGAATGCCACCACGCCAGTTTGTCACAATCCTAACCGGAGGCCATCCCTGCACTGAATCCCCATTGCCCTGAGACTTTTTTCCAGATCTTTCTTAAGGCATCAGAGATGAGGAGGTTAACTTGAAATGTACTAATAGGCCACAAAGTGCTGTCAAAGCAGAGAGTCTGATGTTCAGAGTCTGACCCATCCCGAGGCTGTGCACCTCCCACACCTGAGCAGCTGCAGACTCACCCGTCCCACTCTTGGCCTTTTGTCACTACCACCACCCGTTTCCTCCTCCTTTCCAGCACACAGTGGCTGAGCCAGCAGAGCCCTCTGACCTGCCAGGCTTGGTTGTTTTCTTCTCTGTTTTTCACTTATTAGCCTAATTGAAAGAGTCTCAGTGTTGCCCAGGGGCTACTGGGAACCACGTAAATACCAGAGAAGTACACATGTGCTCTTTCCACAACCCACAGCCCCTGGGCTGGAAACCTGGCTGGGAAAGACTGTGGGGGAAAGAAACAGGGAGGCTCAAATGGTCCCAGACCTCATCCTCACCCAACCCGGTCAGGCCGTGAGACCTGGTGCTCTGTCCACGTGTGTGGTGGCCAGGGCAGCCTGAGGGGCACAGCAACACAGAGGAGCAGGGTCAGAGCACAAGGGCCCTTCTCTGCCCCAGCCCCCTCCCAGCCAGGGGTGCTCCCTCACCTCATGGGGATCTGGGCAGCTTGGGGCCAGGACAGGTTTTTCAACAGAAGAAGAGGGCAAGAGTGCCCCCCATGCCCGCCAGCCCCCTACCATACCCTTTATCTTTTTTCTTCTGTACCTACTGACACACTATGTATTTTTAAATAAATTTGTTATTTAGTACAGTCTCTCCCCACTAGAACGTAAGCCCTGCAAAGCAAATACCTTTGTTTTGTTCACTGCTGTACTCCAAATTCCTGGAACAGTGCCTGGTATGAAGTGGTACTCAATAAATATACGGAGGAAATGAATACATTCTGCCTTTATTGCTGAGTGTTTTACCTGCTGTTTCCCCACCACACGGAAGGAACTTGAGAGAGGTTAGGTCTAATTTATATTCGTGTTCTCCAGGGTGGCTGGCACAATGCCTGGCTCATAGTAGGGGCAATAAATGGTCTAGTAATTGAATTATTCTCACGAGGACCCATCCCCCGGAGGACTGGAGGGGAGGCGCTGGTGAGGGGCTTCAGTGAGACAAAGGCCAGTGGTCACGTCCGAAGCCTCGTCTCAGTTCCTCCCTCTGCACCAGTCAGGACAAAGACTGGCAGATGACAAGAGAGGTATCCACAGGCCATGGGTGACTCGAAGGCCACTGTTTCTCCTCAACTGGGCCTTAGACATGTACACACAGAAGGATGCTGGCCCCGAATGTGACTCAGGACAATTAACAGGGTCTTTTCTAAAGGAGCTGCACCTTGGCCTATCCCGGGAGAGGAATTTAAGCACCGAGTACTCGCTTCTCCCTGGAATTCTACACAGATTTGATATAACTGTTTTTTCTTCAGGTCCTCAAAGACCTGTGTGGCTCAGAAAAAAACAACATTAAGAAGTACGAGCCTAGAGAATCCCTGGAAGAAACCACAACCTTCCACCACCTCCCACCGACCCCTGCTCACTCAGTCTCCAGCATGCCGGGCTCAGAGAACGGAGCACACAGGAAGCCTGCCGTAAAGCAGTGCGCTCGCGCCACACCACGACGGTTTGAGACGCCTCTGAGCTGCAAAGGAGGCAGCTGGCGGGACAGGCTTCCGCGCAGCCATTGTGCCCATGGCCCCCACCCTTGTCAGGCACTTCCAGACTTGAGCATAAATTTGAGTTTATTTTAGGAAAGATGTTTAAAGCACAAATTACAGAGAGAAGGAGCTGGAATCTTTCGGGAGCCTGAGCCTCTTCTCCTTTCCCTTAAGGTTCCTGCAAAGCACCAGCCCCATAACATCCTTAAGCTCTGCAGCCCACACCCAGAGCCCCACACGCTGCTTGGATCAGCTGAATCTATAAGAGTCATACTGAGGAGTCCTGAAGATGCAATCACTGAAGGGTTTTTCTTCCTCAAGCCTAGCACAAGCAAGCCCCAGATTGCTAGTCAGGCAGAGCTGCAGACTCTGTCCCCAGACCCAAATGATCTCCTAGCTTCTGGGCCCAGAGCCACAACTGCACGGCCATCCCCACCCACTCAGAGACGAGGGGAGAAGCCGGCCACCGCAATGCTCTCCCCAGAGATGTAGCTGGCATCCGAAGAGCACAGGAAGGACACGAGTCCTGCACAGTCCTCAGGCTGCCCAATCCTGGGTGGGAGAGGGCACAGCGTCAGTCTTCCTGTACTCTGCTTCTACTGCTCTGGGGCTCACCGGCCACAAGTTGGAGTGGGTTCCATGGCGGTGGGGAGGATGGATACAGGGGGCTACTTGCACCCTCCAGGGCCATGTGGACCCCAGACTTCAGCAGAAAGAATGGCCAGTAGACAAAGAGTGCTCTGTTTCTGAGACAGACACAGCCACCCCTCCCCAGCTGAACTCAGACCAGCTAAGCTCCAAACCCCACTTGCCTCTGCAACTGATGGGATTCCTTCATGTTTTTCCAGATAGCCTTGTTCTTCTGTAACTGGGCAAAGAGAAGAGATGAAAGGGTCAGTGCTGCTAAATAGGAACAGAGCCCCAAGGTGGCCACTTCGCAGAACACCCACCACAGGTTTGCCCTTCTCAGGAGAAGCAGCATCTTCCTGGGGTGGATGCACTAGACCACCACTGAGTTCAGAAGACAGTGAGGACCTCAGCCATAAGCATGCTGACCTGAGGCCCCAGTCACCTATTCATCCCTTAGTCACTAGGGAGGGGGGACACACCCTAGTCCTCACCACTTTGCTGAAGCCAGTGTCAATAATTCCTGGAACCAGGCAGTTCACCCGGATATTCCTGGGGGCTAGCTCCAATGCCAGTGTCCTGGTGAGGCCCAGCAGGGCTGTTTTGCTTACGTTGTAGGCACCCAGTTCCTGGGAAGGGATGGAGAGAACAACCGGATGTCGGGGTAAGGGAAAACGAGCTAGGTTGCTCACCTGCAGTGGGCCCCTCCTGTACAAGCCCAGAGCCCAGATGCACTTTCGCCAGCCATGTCTGAGAACAGGAGCTGGATATGAGGAACCCAGCAACCACATGGGGACAAGCTCAGCCCAGGGCACCAGAAGTAAGGTAGGGGTCTGTCGTGAGCAGTGTCCCTGTGGGGCTCTGGGGAACAGAGCATAGTTGCCCCTGACCCTGTTATCACCCAGCAGCACAAGAACTACGCACTTACCACGTGTGGTATATAAGCTGCAAGGGAAGACATCAGGATGACAACACCCCCCCTGAAAGGAGACAGACAGACGCAGAGGAGAGATGAAGCTAACAACCTACTACCAATGGAGGTGCAGTGATTAAATAATGCAACCCTCACAACAGCAGCACAGGTCCTAGTATCCCCCATTTCCCAGTGGAGGAAACTGAGGCTCAGAGAGGTTTTGTAACAGCCACTAAGTGGCAGGTCTGTGGTTCCAGCCCTATTTCTCATAAATTGGATGTCCATGCTCATAACCCTTACACTGCCCTTCCTCTCTAGCCGGGTGTGTGAAGAAGAGGGCAGGGTGGGCTTGGTGAAGAGGCACCAGGGGCTGGTGGTGGATGCCCCTCAGTGGGAAGCCTCTAAGGAGCAGATGGGCAGAGGAGACAGAAATGATGGTCAGGAACCTTCCTTCTGCCCGAGACAGCCCCCAGCCGGTCCCTAAAGGGTATGTCTGTAAGGAGCACAGTCAGGTTTGCAGGATGTGGAACAGAGGCAGGGTCCCTGGAGACCAAGATGCAGGGAATGAGGAGGAGTCTGGGATGGGCTTCTTCCTGTGGGGAAAATGGGGCAAACCGCGTTACAGTTTTAAGATGGTGAGACCGGAGAGTAGGGCAGGTGAAAATGACCAGGCCACAAGCTTAAGGAGCTAAAGCACAGCCTCGGCCCAAACCTGGTGATGTCAAGGGCAAGGAGAGCACGCGTGGGCCCCTGGAACATCACCCTTCTCCAGCCGCCACCGGAACTAGAAACAGCAGCCACACAAAGTGAGAGGCAGCACAGAGGGAGATGGGGGGATGTCAAGGACCCACAGAGACTCCTGTCCCCACTCCTCAGGCTGTGCCCAGCTCTATTCTTGTGCCCCAGGCTCCCCAACTCCCAGCAGTCCCCACCCCCACGCTGTGGCACCTGTTCTCCATGTGGGGCAGCAGCTGGCTCAGCAGCAGGGCTGGGGCCTTCACGTTCACG